CCCCAAACATCAGTCGCCCGGCCTGCGGGGGGGTGCGTCTCGACCAGAATCTCGGGGGAACTCTAATCGTGGCGACGAGGAGCCCCGCTGGAGGCTCGGAAAGGCACGGAAACGTCAAAAGCCAACTCGAACCTCGATGCTTGAGCCTCGAACCCTGTGCCTAGAAGGAACAGCAAATTCGTGAACATGAATGTTCGGAGGTCTGTGCGGATTTCTTGGGTCAGCGCTGGACCCCTACATTTGGCGCGCGGAGCGTGACAAGACGACAAGACCAGCACCGGCAGGCCGCCAAATGGGCCCCAGTGCCAACCCAAAATATCCACGCGGACCTCTGGCAGATTATTCCAAACCCTCCCGTGATGATTTGGGTGTTCGGTGTGAATCCACAGCATGCCACGTCTCACCTCCTTCCTCCTCCCCATCCCTCTCCTCCTCCTCCTCCCCCTCCTCCTACTCCTCTGCCCTTTCACCATCATCATCATCATCATCATCATCATCATCAGCATCATCATCGTCATCATCATGATCATCAGCACCATCATCATCATCATCATCAGCATCATCATCATCATCATCATCAGCATCATCATCATAATCATCATCATCATCGTCATCATCGTCATCATCGTCATCAGCATCATCAGCATTATCACCATCAGCATCACCGTCATCATCATCATCAGCAGCAGCATCAGCAGCATCAGCATCAGCATCAGCATCATCATCATCATCATCATCATCGTCATCGTCAGCACCAGGATCATCGTCATCATCATCAACAGCAGCATCATCAGCATCAGCAGCATCATCATCAGCATCCTCATCATCATCACCATCATCCTCATCATCATGATCACCACCATCATCAGTAACAACAAGTAAAACATCCTCATCCTTATCATAGCCATCGTCATCCTCATACGCTTCGTGGCCCAGTGCAGGGCAGCGTTCGCACGGCGGCGCCGCCTGGAGTTCGGCGCACCCCTCACGCGCTTGGACCCATAAAGAGCTCCACGAACGGCCCCAAAAACAAGGTTCGCATGGCGGCACCGCCTCCATGTCGGTACACCACTCACGCGCATCGAGGCCCAGTGGGGAACTCCACTCCATCGAAGGCCCTGGAGGCAAGGGTTACGTGGCGTCGCGGCCTGCATTTCTCTACACCGATCACACGTGTCGTGGTCCCAGAAGGAGCTCCACGGAAGGCCCCAGCGGCAGGGTTCGCATGACGGCGCCGCTCGGCTTCGGCACACTCCTCGCATGCTTAGTGCCACCATAAGGAGCTCAACCGACGGCTCCACTGCAAAGGCTCGCATGGCGGTGCCGTCACCACTCTGAACATCTCTCAGGCGCTTCGTGGCCCCATGGGGAACTCCACCGAAGGCGCCCAATGGCAAGGTTCGCGTGGCGGCGCCGCTTCTTCCACCAACCCCTCACACGTTGCCTGCCCCCATAGGGAGCTCAACCGGAAACTCCAGTGGCAAAGTTTACCTGGCGGTGCCGCCTCCACTTCTGCACACCCATCACGCGCTTCGCGGACCCATAGGGAGCTACACGGAAGGCCACAATGGCAGGGTTCGCATGGCGGCGCCGACTTCATTTCGGCGGCCGCCCATCACAACTTGCCCGACCCCATAATTAGGCAAGTCCACCAAAGACCTGGCGAAGTTCGCATGGTGGCGCCGTCTCCATCTCGGCATACGCATCACACGCGTGGCCGCATAGGGGCGCTCCGCTGAATGCCCCGCACCCCCAGCCCAATGAGCAAGTTCGCATGCGGACCCCCCGCCCAATGCATTCCCCACACGGATCGTGCCCCACTGGGCAAGTTCGCATGGTACCCCCCCGCCCGTTTCGGCACACCCCTCACTCGGATCGTGCCCCCATCGAGAGCTTCACCGACGTCCGCTGAGGGCAAATTTGCATGCGGTCCCTCTCGCTTCTGTCGACGCACCCCTCCCATCGTGCCCCTATCGGGAGCTCCAGCACCGGCCCTACGGCCCCGCTGGGCAAGTTCGCGTGTGGTCCCCTGCCCCAGTTCGGCGCAACACTCACACGGATTGTGGCCACGTGGGGGACTCCACCTGCGGCCTGGCGTGGGCGTCCACCCATCCCGGCACACTCCTCAAACGCGCCGTGGCCTCATAGGGAGTTCCGCCAAAGACTCCACAATGGCAGTGCCAGCATGGCGTGCCTCTGCCCAGTTCGGTGCACCCCTCACACGCCTCGTGGCCCCTTATCGGGAGCTCCACCGAGAAGGGCCCCACGGGCCCCATGGCACAACCCGCATGGCGCCAACCCCGCCCATTTCGGCGCACCCCTCACACGTTTCGCGCCTCACATGGAGGTCAGTTTGGCGGCTATATATATATATATATATATACATATACGTGAGATAATATATATATATAATATAACTAGATATACAAGTGGCACGTGTGTGCCCAGGCTCATACAAAAAACTGAAGGGGCGTTTGAAGCAGGAGTGAAATGCAACATCGAAGTCGCACTCGAGCGCAAGTGGGGTTGCCACACCTTGCGATGTGTGTACCAGGACCCCCCAGGAAGCCTCAGGAGGCCCGACTTGGATACCAGAAGAGGCTCCAGGAGGCCCCAGGATTGTGAGTGTTGTGCGTGTGTGTGTGTGTGATGTATGCTTTGTGTGGTGCGTGCTTTTTGTGTGTTGTAGGTGTTGTGTGTGTGTGTTATGTTTGTCTAGCGTGTGATGTGTTGGGCGTGATTTGTGTCTCTGTGTGCATGTAGTTCTGAAGCCCCAGGAGGCCCCAGGAAGCCCCAGGCGGCCTCAGGAGGCCCCAGGAGACCCCAGGAGGCTTCAGGAGGCCCCAAGAGGCTCCAGGAGGCCGCAGGAGGCCCCAGGAGGCCCCAGGAGGTTTCAGGAGACCCCCAGGAGGCTCCGAGGCGGGGTCTGGGGTGCCAGAAGGTTCAGAAAGCCCCAGGAGGCCCCAGGAGGTTCCAGGAGGCCCCCAGGAGGCTCCGAGGCGGGGTCTGGGGCTCGATTTTGGAAGGATTTGTCAAGCGAAACCGCCATTCCCTGAGAATCGGGGTCACAATTATTGAAATTACCATGTGTTTTTGAAGGTGTTATGTTAAAATGTTGAAATTCCCATGTGTTTTTGGACCCTGACATCACGATCTGCGTGAGGGGTGCCACCGATTTTCAGAATTTCGAGGATGCCCCGAGCGAAACGCCCAGAAAAATCGCGGACGCGTGCGCATGAATCGCCTCTGAGCTGTACTCCCTCGGAGAGGTGCGTATGAGAATACATATATATATATATATATATATACACATCTAAAGAGAGGGCGATGCCCTGCGCGAGCTCTGCGTGTTGTCGCAACGTCGCAGATCCACGCCGCGGTCGAAGGAAGCCGAGGGACACTACGGGTCCTCAATGGGCACACACGGAGCGGGAACTGAGCGGGCGCGGGTCAGGGGTAGGTAAGCACGCTCAGAGCATTGAGTGCTCGAAAGTGTGTGCCTGAGCACGGGCGTGCACAGCAGGGAGACGCGACGCTAGCCACACATATCTGCATGAGGTTGGGCCCATCGCCAGGATGATGGATATAGCTTGCTGTTCCTTCAAGGCCAGGGCTCATGCCCCCCTTGCGGCCCCCTTCGCGCGCGGGAGGGGCTGCCGCGGCTCCGATCTTCTCGCCCACAAGAGCCTCCACGCTCCTCTGGAGCCCGCCGCAGGGAGGGCCGAGGAGGAAAGGTGTTCAATCGAAGATCGGCGCGACTAGGAGGGAGAGGAAGAGGAGGGGAAGGAGGCATTGCCGGGGGCAGGCCCAAAGAGAGGGCCAACAAAGCGCTGTGCCTGAGGCCGCCCAGATGGGGCCGGAGTAGGTGGGCTCGGGGGGTTGCGCCACATCGCCGATGCATCAGCAACGTCGTGCTGGAGAAGGTCGGGTTCCAGATCGCGCGGCATCGCTTATGCACCAGCGCAACGCGGCCGATACCTCGTTGATGCTTCGCCTACGGCCCCATCTACCCCAGCCTCATTCTGCGCGCCGTGAACATGCTTACTCGGCCTCAGAGCATGGAGCCCGCTGCGCACAGATCTGGCTCGAAGACGCCGAGAGGAGGAAAAGGAGAAGGAGGAGGAGGAGGAGGAGGAGGAGAAGGAGGAGGATCGGGGGCGGCCAAGAGGGGGGCGTCCAAGAGGGGGGAGCGCAACTCATGGCTGGCGGCATGTGCGCGGCACAGTGGGGGGCCAGGGACGTAATGAAATAAGACAAGGCGCCGTGAAATCTGGGGAAATATCATGGCCACGCCATGATATCCACCTCTCCCTAGTCATCACGCCCCTCTTTGCCGCCCCCGAGAGGAGGAGGGAGAAGGAGGACGACGACGGGGGAGCATCCCTAAGGACTCTTCGCCCAACCTCCCGCCCACTCCCTCCTCCGGAAGAGGGCCCACCGCACCTCTCTTGTGAAGCCGCTCGACGGCCCAGCGGCGGCTCCTCAGGCGACGGCCCCGGTGGGCATCGCCTAACCGATCCCTGTCCCCACTGGCGTGGCCTCGGCCCTACTGGCCGTTCTGCCCTCCCAGATGGGGATGGTGGGGCTCGGGTTCGAGATGGGGAGAGGAGATCGGTTCAAAGATCTTGGTTGACCCAAAGGGGGTCCAGCCGGAAGGGGGTGGTGCAATACATGTGGGGCAATAAGATTGCGAATGTATTGCGCTAGAGAATCGTAACGCATTGTATCTAATGTTTTGCACGCGAACATCAATCAATACATATGCGCACCGGACCGGAATGTATTGCACGCCCCAAACCTAGTGCAACCCAACGAATCTATTGCCCCTCCCCTTCCAGCTGGACCCCTTCTGGGTCAGTGGGCAGGGCGCGCCGGGGAGGAGGGGCTCCCCCCCTGCTGTGGGTCCCTGGAGGTTCCCCGCGCTGCTTCAGTGTGAAGGGGCCCTGAGACACACAAGTAAATGCACACAAATAAAAGGATTCCCCATATTTCTCCATATTTTCTGGGTTTCTGTCTTCCCCCCCCCCACTTCCCACATTTTCCCATATTTTCTGGGAATCGGCGACTAATTGTGTCTGTGTGCTTTTTCCCCTCCTGACAGTGTCGGAGGCCTTCAGGGGCGCCTACTGCGTACCGGGTGCGCGGGAGGCCTCCCCGAAGGGGTCGCCTCCCTTCGGCCGAGCAGCTCGACCGAAGGGCAGCGACCCACAGGCTGGGGGGCGGAGGGGTCGCGAGGCGGGAGCGGCCCCCGAGCAGAGGGGGGGGGAAGAGGAGGAGGAGGAGGAGGAGGAGGAGGAGGAGGAGGAGGAGGAGGAGTATGAGGAGGAGGGGGAGGAGGAGGAGGAGGAGGAGGAGGAGGAGGAGGAGTATAAGTATGAGTATGAGGAGGAGAAGGAGGAGGAGGGAGAAGAACGAGGAGGATGAGGAGGAGGGGGGGGGCGAGATGAGACAGGAGAGGGCGCGAGCTGAACCGCGTGGTCCGTTTTCGTGCTAGCCGGGCCGCTGCAACCAAGGCACGCCGGACTCGGAACGGAGGCCCCCTGCTTGGGGCCCACACGCGCCTGCGCGGACGAGGAGCGCGGGAGAAACAACCACGGAAGGATCCAGAGGGAACACGGAGCCGCTTCCGGACCCACACTGTTCCTTATCTCAGTGTCCTGGCTGAAAATGCGCGCGCGTGTGTGTGTGTGTGTGTGTGTGTGTGTGTGTGTGTGTGTGTGTGTGTGTGTGTGTGTGTGTGTGTGTGTGTGTGTGTGTGTGTGTGTGTGTGTGTGTGTGTGTGTGTGTGTGTGTGTGTGTGTGTGTGTGTGTGTGTGTGTGCGTGCGTGCGTGCGTGCGTGCGTGCGTGCGTGCGTGCGTGCGTGCGTGCGTGCGTGCGTGCGTGCGTGCGTGCGTGCGTGCGTGCGTGGGTGTGTGTGTGTGTGTTTCGGTGTCCCTGGCTCTGTCTTCGCTCCGCCTGTGCTGCGAGAGGAGGTCACGACGAAGACGGCCCGGGAGATCGCCCAGACACCGCTCCGCTCGCGCCCCGGGACAGGGCAGCCCCAAGCGGAAAGGGTCTCGCCGGAGTGGTCGCGGCCGCCAGGCGACCGCGATCGCGGGGGCCTGGCCACCGCCTGAGGTGCCAGGCCCCCGACCGTGCCGTTGGATTTGCACATGCCGGCGAGCAACACCACGTGAGTGGCGAAACCAGTCCTGCACGAGATGGCCTAGCGATCTTTCGCGGGCAGCTTCCAGTCATCGGCCTGACCTGAGGAACGATGAATAGGGAACCAACCCCTTTTTTTCCAGGAATAACGCATAAGGAACGATGTATAACAAATACCGCATAAGGAACGATAATCAACGCATGCATATCTGAGGAACGACCGAGCCCCTGTTGAAAAGTGAGTGCTCCTTATTCAAGCCGCTCACTGCACGCGCCAACGTCGGCGGACGAGGACGAGGACGAGGATGAGGAGGAAGAGGAGGAAGAGGAGGAGGAGGAGGAGGAGGAGGGGGAGGAGGAGGAGGAGGAGAAGGAGGAGGGGAAGAGGAGGAGGAGGAGGAGGAGGAGGAGGAAAGGAGGAGGACGAACCCCTCTTCCTTCGCCGCTCACGCGCAGGGAGGGGGGAGGGGCCCAGGGTCCCGGGAACCTCTGCTTTGGGAGCTCCAGGTCCGCCACGACGCCATGACGCACTTCCGCGGATCCAGAGTTAAGTCGGGCATGTCATCCTACAGGCGGATTTTTTGGACGACAAGTAAAACAAAAAGCAAACACGTACTCAAGAATAATCAAAATTAGTTTAAAACATCGTCCCAGACTATTCTTTTACAATTTTGAATATTCCGCCTGCAGAGGGACAGGCCCGACTGAAACGCAGAGGACACTCAGCGATGGGTGGAAGGGGCAAAATGTCAGATCTGGCGCGAGCGCATCGAGCGTGCCGGAATCCGTGCCGGCCTGCGGGAGCTCTCCCACGAGGCACCCAGGGGACCTTCTGTAGGGGAACGAAGGATGACAGAAACATAAACAACTGGTAGCCGATAGCCAATGTCAAGTTCTGACTGCACAACCAAACGGCTCGAGCCACAAGAAGGCAACGACGGACGAGCTGGAGTAGGGGAACGAACAATGACATAAACATAAAAGCTCGGAGGTCCGCGCGGACTCTTCGGATCGGCGCTGGACCCCCCTCCCTGGCGCGCGGAGCGCGCCAGAGGCGGCGACAGAGGCGCCGCCAGGGGGGCTCCGGCGCGGATCCGAGAAATCCGCGCGGACTCCCGAGCTTTTGTGCTCATGTCATGCCTCGTTCCCCTTGCTCTGAGAGGGCCCATCCCCGCCTTCCGAGAAGACGCCCCCCCCCCCCTTGTCCGAGGCCGCCCACCCCTCTGATGCCATCCCCCTCGTGGGTGACCCCAGGGCGGCTCTCTCGGCCGCGCTCTCGCCCTCGGCGGCTCCCCCGTGGCGCGCTGGGCCCTGCAGTTCCGCGCGCCGGGGAGGAGGGGCGCGGGAGGGCAGAGCAGCAGGCGGAGGAGGAGGAGGAGCAGCAGGCGGAGGAGGAGGAGGAGGAGGAGGAGGAGGAGGAGGAGGAGGAGGAGGAGGCGAGGACCATGAGCCAAGGAACGGGGCCCCTTCTGGGGCGCGGTTGCCCCCAAGCCCACGATGGATGCCAGAGCGAGCCCCGGAAATGCCTCCGGGGACACCGGCCCCCGTTCGACGCCTCGGCAGCCCTGGCCGTGCACAAGGGGAGAGGACGGAGCGGCGAAGGGAGAGAAGATGGGAGAGGGCGACCCCGGCGCAGGAGGGCCAAAGGGAGGAGCAGGACCGGCTGGGGCGGGGAACAAAAAGAGGAGCGAGGGCCGGGGGGAGAGGCGAGCGCACGCTCTCGACGAGGAGGGGCGTGGGCCCCTCGCCGTCTCCTCACCACCGCCTCGGGCGTCTCGATGAACTCGGTGTCCCGCACGTAGCGGGTGCTCTGCGCCTCCGCCGGGATGGAGTCCTCGCGCGCCAGGGGCGGAAAGGGGGCGCGCCGGAAGGGCGCCCGGCACGGCGTCGGGCGGATCTGCTGCTGCGGTGAAGGGGCAGCCTGCCCATCCACGCGAGCCCCGTCAGGGGGACGGGCATAGCCTCCTCCTCCTCCTCCTCCTCCTCCTCCTCCTCCTCCTCCTCCTCCTCCGCACTGAATGCAGCCGCGTCGGAGAGATGGGCACGGCATGCTTGCAAACGCAAGCGCAGGCCCGACGACGGCAGAAGCGCAGGCTCCACCCTCCCTCCCGATCCCAGCTCGGATGCCCGGGAGGCGTCAGAACCGTCCCTGTGGGCACATCCCGACCGCCACCCAGATCAGCATCCTGTGACGAGTACAGCGCGACGTCGCACCGAATGGATGCCTTCAGGGAAGGGGCCAGAGAAGCAGACACTAGTGGTCGAAGAGGAGTCCTTGATTGCCTTGTACTGCGGGAACTCATCCGCGGCCTGGTTTTGCGCGACGAGAGTCAGCCTCCCCGCGCGGTAACCTTCCATGTGCCCTCCTTCAGCCGCCAATGCAGGACGGGCCAAATCGATAACGCCCCGGGCCGAAATCGTGCCAGTGCTTGCGCACATCTGTGACGCTGGAGCTGTGGCCTCGACCGGTCGCTGCGCGATCGCAAGCCATGGACAGACACAGAAACTATAGAGCGAGAGGGAAACCGAGAACGAGCGAGAGAGAGAGAGAGAAACAACAACAAACCAACAACAAACAACGGATAGAGAGAAAGGTTAGACAGCAGGGGAAGACGGAGGGGGCGATGCATGCATGCATGCATGCATACATGAATGCATATACGTATGTATGCATGTGCCTGGAGGTGTGTATGCGTGTATGTATGCATGCATGCATGTATGCGTGGCTGCATGCATGTGTGCATACATGCATGTGTGTACATATATGCTTGTGTATGCGTGCAGGTATACTTGTAGATCCGCGCGCATGCACGCATGTATGTATGTATGTATGTATGCCTGATTGTGTGTATGTATGTGTGTATGCATGCATGCATGTAGGTGTGTATGTATGTATGCCTGTATGTATGCATGCATGCATACATGCATGCGTGCATGTATGTATGTATGCGTGTGTGTATGGATGGATGCATGTTCGTATGTGTGTCTGTATGTGTGTATGCATGCATGGATGTATATGGATGTATGCATGTTTGTATGTATGTATGTATGTATTTATGTATGTATGTGGGTATGCATGTATGTTTGTGTGTATGCATGTATGTATGCATGCATGTATGCATGCATGCATGTATGCATGCATGTATATATGTATGTATGTATGTATGTATGTATGTATGTATGTCCGTCTGTATGTATGTATGTATTGATGTATGTATGTATGTATGTATGTATGTATGTATGTATGTATGTATGTATGTATGGATGTGTGTATGTGTATGTATCTATGTATGTCTGTCTGTCTGTCTGTCTGTCTGTCTGTATGTCTGTCTGTCTGTCTGTCTGTCTGTCTGTCTGTCTGTCTGTCTGTCTGTATGTCTGTATGTATGTATGTATGTATGTATGTATGTATGTTTGTGTGTGTATGTATGTATGTATGTATGCATGCATGCATGCATGCATGCATGCATGCATGCATGCATTCATGTATGTATGTATGTATGCATGCATGTATGTATGTATGTTTGTTATGTGTGTTTCTATGCATGTATGAGAGCGCATTTCACGGGCGCGCGCCTCGGGAACATTCGGCGGCGCGTTTCGATACGGGGTGTGGGACCCCCCAACACTCAGCGCCGTCGATCAAAACCGGGGGGACTACCCTCTCCCCCAAACCCCCCCCCTCCCAACCCCCCCCCCTCCCCAGGGGGGAGGGGGGTTCAAACCCCCCCCCCCGCTCGGCGCCGGCGCCGGCGCCGCAGCGCGCCGCACGCGACGGCGGGACGCAGCGACGATGACAGAGCAGCCAACGGAGGGGGGGGGGGGTTCAAACCCCCCCCCCCCTGCTGCCAGCGC